TCTATAATTTTGAAAATGTCTGTGGTCACCCGACTTGAATAATGGAATAACACGAGCAATTTTCATAAGATCAGGAACAATGCCAGATGAAATAGAAAGATTAATAATATGAGCAATAGGTTCTGAAATTACACTAACAGAATTTTTTAAGGCCGATATCGGAATGTTATCATAGCCAGCCGCGGTTCCAGATCGCAATGAATTAATTATTTCCACTATTTCTTCTTCAGTTGTTAATTCCAGGGACATTGAATTAACATAATTACCAGATAAATAAGAACGGTGAGAAACTGTAGAATTTGGTATATCCTTGGCTAAATTGATCCCAATGTTGGTAAAATATTCGCAAAAATGGTTCGCAACTTCATTCGGACTTGATATTTCATTATCATTGGAAACAAAAATTGTAGTTAGTTTATTGGTATGCTTTTTCCTATTAATGACTTCATTCAAGATTTGCCATGTTCTTTTAGTGTTTGTTTTAAAGTAATCTAATTGTTTATCATAGTAGATACGTTTGGCAATCCTTAAAGAATGGTTCAATTTGTTTTTATACTTTTTGTAAGAAGCCAGATTAACATCATTTGGGGTATTTAAATATCGCTTATACAATCTATTCTTTCGCCTTATAGATTTGAGAAGTCCCTTGGACAACCAAGGTTTACTCAAAGTACATTTCCTTTTCCTGATTCTTTTCAGAGGGAAACAACTATTATAGATATCTCGATATTTGTTTAAAAAGCTTTCGTACGCTTTTAGCGGATCATAGAACCCATCTAGACTATACCAGTTAAAATAAGTTACACTATGACTAACTGCTAAGTTACATCAGGACTCTTGGCATGATCTTCTAAGTTACACTATGACTAACTGCTAAGTTACATCATGACTGTTGGCATGATCTTCTAAGTTACACTATGACTAACTGCTAAGTTACATCATGACTCTTGGCATGATCTTCTAAGTTACACTATGACTAACTGCTAAGTTACATCATGACTGTTGGCATGATCTTCTAAGTTACACTATGACTAACTGCTAAGTTACATCATGACTCTTGGCATGATCTTCTAAGTTACACTATGACTAACTGCTAAGTTACATCATGACTGTTGGCATGATCTTCTAAGTTACACTATGACTAACTGCTAAGTCACATCATGACTGTTGGCATGATCTTCTAAGTTACACTATGACTAACTGCTAAGTTACATCATGACTGTTGGCATGATCTTCTAAGTTACACTATGACTAACTGCTAAGTTACATCATGACTGTTGGCATGATCTTCTAAGTTACACTATGACTAACTGCTAAATTACATCATGACTCTTGGCATGATCTTCTAAGTTACACTATGACTAACTGCTAAGTTACATCATGACTCTTGGCATGATCTTCTAAGTTACACTATGACTAACTGCTAAGTTACATCATGACTCTTGGCATGATGTAACTTATCAGTGCAAGGTGGGAGAGAGCACAGAAGAAAATTTTCTTCAGTACAGAGCTTCAGGTGTGACAAGACTTCCACTAACCAATCAGAATGCATCTTGTCTAACACAACCAATCAAATGTGTACTGAGCCGGTGAAATGGTAGTGGAAGTGAAATTTGAACCTGTCTAATTAAAGCCCTCACGGGCAAACTAGCAAACATTGTTGCAGAAACATTTGTGATTATCGATTTTTCCTCAAATGTTTCCATGTTTGCCCACCCGTGGAAACATTGTTGCAGAAACAAAATTTGCTTCCCGGGAAACAAAAATATTTCCTACCAAATTCAGAGACATTTGATGTTTCCCTATGTTTCTCACTAATGTTTCCTAGTGTTTGCCCACTCTGGGAAACATGGCGAAACATTGGTAGGAAACAGTTAATGTTTCCGCAACAATGTTTCCTAGTTTGCCCTGGGCTTAAGAGTTGCCCATATTCAAGAACATCTACCTCTGCATGATCTAACCATATTCATTTCAGCAGCATGTACTGTACAGTACAGGATCAGATCATATGTTCAATAGCATGCCCAGTATCTTAAAGGTTTACTGTATCTGCCCTTGTACAGTACGGTCTAACCGTTAGTTATTACGTACTGTACTTTAGAGAAACACTGTCATCAAGATTGCAAGAAGCAGTAAAACTTAATGAAGTTTATCAGACAGCTTTCCACAGAACAAAAAACAAGCTGAAAGAGACTCAGAGTGAAAGACAGTTTGAATTCAGGTATATTGTGAATAATTTATTATATCGAAAAGGAGTATTTAATTAGTAAGCCCATTTATAGTAAGTGATACTGATTAATAATTTATGGTGTTTACTGTAGTGAGAATTATATATTTGGCAAGTTTGATGCGTTTTGTAAGCGACTTGAGAAACTCGACGACATGCTGATAGCGATGGAGAATCTTTCTGGACTTCAGAAAATAAAAATTGAGGTACAGTATGTATTTTTGTTGACTTCAAACAAGAAGTCTTGGGCATTTTTGCAGTAAGATTAATACAAATTTATCTCTTAGGGAATTGAAACGATAGTGGTCAGATACCAAACCATGGTTGCCACAGTTAAGAAAAAGACGTACGATCTGTTAGATCATCGCAAGGGAGAGGTACGGTGATAAAATAAGTCGGCAACCACTCTCGATTGTTTGGTTCAAACTCCGGTACACGTCACTGTCAATACAATGATGAACTTTTTCGTTGCAGTTTGATACGGACTATGAAGAATTCAAACAAAGTGTCGAAGCTTTGAAAGAACAACTTCAACTTTTTGTTGATTCGTGGTTTGAAAAATCTTTATCGGTAAGTCATGCAAGGCAGAACAACTTAGAATGACATATGTTACACTATTTCTTAAACATGTGGTCCATCGTTTTCTAGACAACTCGTGCGCTGGAGTTACTGGGAAAGTTTGAGAACATCAAAGGAGTCCAGTTGTATCTCAATGACAAATATGATAAAGTCTTGATCCAGTACAGAAAGTATGTCATAGCTTTACAACCTTTGATGACACCCAGTTTTAGTCTTGGATTTCTGAATCTAGTTCAATGCTGAATGTCTTTTTCTAGGGATCTTGAAACATGCAGAAAAATTTACCAAAAATTTAAGCACGACCCTCCAGTACAGAGAAATCTTCCTCCGGTGAGTACATCATACAAATTCTGTTATTGTACATATCCGTTGTTGAAATAAGTCATTTACCCATTGAGCTGCAATGTGCCCCAGTGCGCCCAACTTATTTTGTTTTACTCGTCAATGGGGAAGCTCTGCAGCTTAACGGATTAACTAGGATGCATCATGCGTGGGCAGTTTGTTTGGTTAACCCATTGAGTGGCAGCACTCTCCACTTTATCAGTAGAATCGTCTGGCGTTATAGACAGAGTAAAATACTAAAGTAGGGTGCATTAAATTGTCACTTAAAGGGTTAACGAAATGGTATTCTCTCACAGGTTGCTGGGAAGATCACATGGTCCAGACAGTTATTTCGTCGCATTCATGAACCAATGAAAGTGTTTCGTCGATATCCTGAAGTTTTGAAGGTATGTTAATCCTAGCTTCTATTTTATCATGGCTGTCACTATCATGTCAATGTCTATGTACATCGGGAACTATGACTGAACGGAAACCACACGTTGCATGGGAGCCATTCCTTTTAAAGTTGTAAATAAATAATTCTCATGTTCATGTTTTGCTTGCTAATATGACTCATATTTTTATGTTGCTTTAGGGTGATGAGGCCAAAAGGATTGTCCGGAATTTCAACAAGATGGCTTCTGTTTTAGTCGAATTTGAGGTATTTCATATTTCTTCCAAATGACAAACTCTATACTGTGTAAATCGTCACCAATGTCTAATCTGGATATGATTTATTCTTATGTAGGTACTGTACCATCGCGGTTGGATGCAAGCTGTCGAATTAGCTCGCAGTGGTATGCAAGCATCGCTGTTGGTCGTGCACCCAGAAACAAAGGTACGAACCATATCATGATAATATAACGAGGCATTCTATAGATAAGCTTCGCTAAGCGCTGTCGTACAACAGATGATGGTTAAGTCAACCTGCAGTTATGAGAGTGAGAGAATATAATTATATTTCATTATTTGTAGAAACTGTTTGTGAACTTTGACCCTCAAATTCTTGAGCTGATTCGTGAATGTCGATGCATGCGTCGTTTGGGACTCGAGGTAATAATTCTTTCTTCGCTGTTCTCAATTTCACATTTTGATTACTCCTACACTTTCCCCAATTTGTGTTCTAGTATGTTCTATTTCTTTGTAGATTCCTGAAAGTGCTCGGGTATTGTGGATGAGAGAAAACGCAATCAAATCTGCCTACAACAGGTAAAGTTAACTTCTTTTTTACCCAACAAAAACATGAAAGACTCTGTGATTAGTGTAGTGGAGATTTTGCAACTGCAAACCAACTGCAACTTTGCTACCAGTCTGTACCCTTCACTTTATAATTACAGGGATGGATCCAGCATGATCTGGTAGGGGGGGGGGGGG